CACACACACACACACACACACACACACACACACACACACACACGTGTGTTTGTTCATGCATATGGGCCTAGATAGGCACGCTGGAGTGGGATGATATCTTTATTTCAAATATACGTTGGCAGGAGCCCTCACAGCACATGTTAGAGGCCCCCAGGGAGTTGACATACCCAGGCACATGGTGGAAGCTAGGAGTCCTGGTCTTCACTCCCTCGGCAACACTCTGAGAGCATGGTTTTGTTATGCTTCAAAATCTTCCTGGGAATGCAGCCTATTGAAGGTACAGGAATCTGAGCTCCTTTTTAAAGTGTTCGTAGTCCCTTTTATTTCTCACTTTGCTGTTTGTGTTTGCCTATCAGATCAAAGAAATCGGCTGGTCAGATGTTGGAGGTTGGACTGGCCAAGGAGGGTCCATTCTTGGGACAAAACGGTAATTTCCAAATCTTAACTCTCAACCTGCTCTCAAGGAAGAAGAAACAGCCACGTTCTAGAAGAGTGGCTGGATGTGGGTGCCTCTTCTGATATCTTGGAAGGAATTTCTAAACAAAGAGGCATTGGGGCACCTACCTGTCCTCGCTCTGGGAACCTGATTATGTTTGGGAACTGGGGGTGAGTCCCAGGGCTTGGAAAGAGAGAGAACATAGCTTTTGGACACTTTTGTCCAATCAGTTCTTCATTCCATACTTTGGAAGAGCAAAACCGCACAACTCATTGGAGGTTTCAAGAGAGGTAATCATCACTGGGCTGTAGTAACCTGTGTGAACAGGCACTAAAATCTTGCTGGAGCAGGTTTGTGGTGTTGGGAATGACACAAGGGAACCCCATAGCGGCTCTGGGCTCATTTCCACACTTGAAAAAATAACATGAGTAATTTTGATGTGAAAATGTGTTTATCTGAATTATAGTATGCTTCAGTGTATCCCCATCGCTGGGGGAAGGATAATCTAATGAGTTGTATTATTTAATATTAAGTGAAAGTCCTTTTCATCTTTGATAATCCCAGGGGTGCAATGTTAATGCCAGTCATTATTATAGTTTATATTTTGATTCGGAAAGAAAGTAATTTTTAGGTAAATGTTATATAGGGTTCCATCTGATAGTGACTTTTTGTCCCTAGAAAATTATCTCAACCCTTTTTTCTGCTTTAAAACTAGGACTTCCAAGATCACCTACTGCTAGCAGGGTCCCACAGGGCTGGATTAGTTCTTCAGATCTGCATGTGTTCAGTCTTCCAGTCGGACCATGTGCCCTGGGGTTGGTTTCCTAGAAAGCTCTAGTGGAAGGAGATGTATCTTTAGGTACTTCCAGGCTTCAGCAGACTGGCCAAGACACTTCCAGCATCGGTGTGCTGGGCGTTGCTCTTGAGTCAGGCAGAACAAGTTGGGGGCTTTGGACAGATTCTAACGATGTTTCAAAATCTGCGTCAGAAGGCTAGGAGGGACTTTGCAGTTAGACACATACACTCTTTTGCTCTGTTTGAGTATTTTTGCCCTACATATTTTTTAAAACTATCAAAAATATAAGTACTTTTTATCCTCACATAAGCATGAAAGGAAGACAAGGGATGTGGCTGGGGATAGAGCTCAGTTGGTAGAGTGCTTGCCTCACATGCATAAAGCCCTGCATTCAATCCCCAGCACCACACAAACAAACAAACAAACAAAAACACAGAAAGCAAGATAAGGGATAGGTGTTGGGTGGAACCTTGGGCAGACCATAGAGCACAGTATCGTTTGCTTGGTGTTACATTGTTGATCATGTCATTTGAAGTAGGCAACAACACAGAAGGGTACCAACAGAGCAAGCCTGGATAGCAAGTGTAGGTGTATGAGATTAAATTATAAGCAGAGTGCAGTGGCACAGGCCTGTAATCTCAATGACTCAGAAGGCTGAGGCAGGAGGATTTCGAGTTCAAAGCCAGCCTCAGCAACTTAATGAGACCCTGTCTCTAAGTAAAATATAAAACCGGGCTAGGGATGTGGTTCAGTGGTTAAGTGCCCCTGGATTCAATCCCTGGTACAAAAAAAATATATATTTTTTTTCTTTTTTTGAATAAAAACGTTCACAGGAAGCTACAAATTTCTATTTAGACAATTACTGTTAATAATTACAAGCTGCTTTGATTTATTGTTTTCTAATAAGGCAGAAGGAGGCTTTTCAGGTGCAGGATTAGCTGAAGTGCTTCTTCCCAAATATTTGTGGAAAATACTCTCTCGAGATGTGACTTATGGCCACTGCTACCTTGGGTGTCCATCCCCTGGCACTCTGCTGCTGTCTCTGCAACAAAGGGACGGAAAAAAGCAGCTAACAGTCCACTACCATAGTGCCGTAGAATGTGGCCACGATGAGAGGTGGGAGGCAAGACCTGGGGCGGAGGGGTTGCCGAGGGGCTGCAGGTGTGATGCACATGGGGGACTGTGTACAGCTGGATGGTGCCTGACCTCATCTCTTGGTCCATTTGTTTCTAGTGTCCTGCCTGGGAAGTTCTTGGAAGAGATTGCTGAGCAGATACGTGCTCATAGTATCAATGCCCTCTTGATCATTGGTGGATTTGAGGTAAGTCGTTGTCTGTTAACCTGCTTGATAGTTTTGGACATGTGACTATCGACCCTGTTTTCACACAAGCACAAAACTTGTTGGCTGCTCTTTAGGAACTTGGGTTATGGATTCTGAGGCCCGTTGCCACTGGCTTGATTGTAATGCAGAAGAATAGCAGGTGGCCTAAGATTGACCCAGTTCCAGTAAAGACACCTGATGTGGAAGCCAAAGCTTAACTTCTTATCTGAGATTCACCTATTTGGTGAGATCTGATTTGATTCCTGTGTATAGAAATCATTCCATCTCTTCAATGTGAAGCCCATTGGCTCTTTACAGAGGAAGGTAGTCACACGGTTAGATTTTCTTTTTTCAGTTTCCTCAGAGTCACGTGTTGGACTACAGTCCTTAATTATGTACTCTTGGATAAAGATCAGTCCTGTGATAATCTTTTGATTTACTTTGAAGAAATGTAAGAACCTCAAGTAATCAGCCTCTCACCAATAAGAGTTAGTGTTCTACGTGCTAATGTCCTGCTTTCTCCTCTGTACTCAGCAAACCTCTCACCCTTGGACTGAATGTAGTTCTGTGGTATCCCAATATGTACCTTGTGTGCTGTGCTAGAAGTGGCTCCCTGAGGCTCTCCTGTGCTTGCACTCCCAGAGATACCCTCTGTGCCCGCTGCGCCCCTCCCAGCTTCCTGGCCCCACAATCACACACACTTGTCTGACAGGCCTACCTGGGACTCCTAGAGCTGTCAGCGGCCCGGGAGAAATACGAGGAGCTCTGTATCCCCATGGTTATGGTTCCTGCCACTGTCTCCAACAATGTACCCGGTTCCGATTTCAGCATCGGGTCAGACACAGCTCTGAACACTATCACCGACGTAAGTGCGCGTGCCAGCAAAGCAGGCGCGCTGCTGCTAACCTCAGGCCTGCCCCTTTTATCTACCAGTGCACTAGAAATAGGCCCCAGGCAGCTGGGCAGTGCCTGCATGGGCTCAAAGAAATCTTTTGGCTTTTTCTTTTCTTTTTTTTTTTTCTAAGGTACATTCAAAAGTCCTTTTGCCTCTGAAAAAAATTGATCTAGTTCCTCAAAGTTTTGCAACCTCTTCTGTATAGCTGAGGCACTATCACTGCCATTGCCATTGAATGGCCTTGGCACCATAGCTCTGAGATTTGATAACTTATATTAAGATTTTTGTTTGTTTTGGCGGAGCCTCATTTACTTCCAGTCTGTAAATCTTACTGTGATAAAACCTGGACCGTGGTTCTCTGCCTTGATGTCTAAGGGTGGAAATTCAATATTTGGTAATTTTATTCACTGATTATTGAATCCTCTGTTTGCATTTGTTGTGTTTTTCGTTATGCTGTCAATGTCATTTCCTCCTTAATTGGCAATTCTAAATTACAATCTAAAAATATTGATGCTGCTTTGATTTTTAATTTTTTTGCCAGAAGGCAATAAGGAAACATAGAAGTGCATTCTATGTATCATATTTGTAGTTAGCCTTGATAATTCATATGGGAGTTTGAAGATCAGTATCTAAATCAGAATACATTTGACTTAATTTGTTGTCAAATATTTCAGTTAAGTCTCTGGTTTTTATTTTCCTTGTGAGATCTAGTTCTTATGAAAGTTTTTGGAGGTTTTTTTTTTTAAACTCCTATCACCAAAAAACCTATTTCTAGTGCTGGTAAATAAAAGCCCAAAAGCTTTTAAGATAAGATCTCAAGGGTAAGTAATGATTAGCACTTATTTCTTGCTTTTCTCAAGTGCTTAAACTTCTTCCTGCTTTGTTACTATAGCAGTGTGATTGTGTCTGCTGAAAGTGGTGCGTGTGTGTTTGCAGTCACTAACCTTTTGTTTAGATCTTGCATGTGCTTTTTGGTGATTGTTACTATTTTTGCTGCTTTCAACTGATTTGGGCTCTGGATGGATCTTTGTGAATGTAAAGATCTGCGTCTACCACAAAATGAATTTGTCTTTTTCTTTCTCTCTCGCCTGCCCTGCCTAGATTGGGGGTCTCTGTGGGCTGAGTTCCTCAGAGAAGCAGTTGGACTTGAGTTGCTTGTTTACTCATTGTCACATAGTTAAAGCTCACCTCTGGGGGGATGGATGGGGACCTGGAGGCTGTCCTTTGCCAAGGGTGGGAGCTTCTGCAGGTGCCAGCCAAGGCTTTTGTTCCCTTGATAACACACTCTTAGGCACCAAGGAAAGAGTCTCCTATCTTACAATTCTGAGTTCCTCTGCTATAAAGAACTGTTTCTTCCCAGATTGTTGAAAGAGAATAGATACATAGTTGAAAATTTGAAAACCAAAATAAATTGGAGGACAAAACCCAAACCATCTATCCTACTTCCCTTAGAGGGAGTTTTTGTGACTTTTCTTAAATTTGGTCTTTTATTTGTTTGAGTTTCTCAAAGCTAGGTTAACCAACAATGATGTCTGAGAAAGAAAAAGAAGGAGCAGGTAGTTGATCATTCCTGAGAGCCTCAGGCATGATCACATGGCAAGGGATATGTGTGGTCTTCCTCATGTGCTGTTTCTGAGGCTCCAAGGAGCCAGGTCCTCTTGGTTCTGCCATCTCAAGGTAGGTGGCCAAGGCTGGGCCAGTGACTGCTCTGATTGCTCTGGGGCCTGGAGCCTGGTGAGGGGTGAGAAAACAGCTAGGAGTCCTTCCACATGTCCTAAAGGGGTGAAGACCAAACCTGAACATGTCATTGGCTTCTTCCAAAGATATGTTTTTTGGGCAAAATGAAGTCAATTCCAGTCGTTTTCATTTGGGGTTAAACCAGGCTAGGCTAGTCATAACCACGAATCCTCTGCAGGAAATGGGGCATGCAGCACTCTATACAGGTCACCCGGGGTCCCTCCTGCCACTGGTTCTGGTGGGTCAGGGCCCAAAGCAAGTTAGTATCACCTCACTCACCTTATTGGTAGCATAAAGCCGGTGTCCTACACAGGCCCTAGGAGCTCCCTGCATGCTCACATCTAGGTACTCTGTTTCTACTGGTGTGATATCTGCTTGGCCCAAGATGGCCTTCGCATTTAGAATCCATGGGCATCTCCAATACCAAATCACTCCTTTTGTTCAGGGAGCTTGGCGATTCTCAGCTGTGGATGGTTTTGCACCAAGGGGCATTTTGAGCATTGAAGGGTATTTTGGATTGCTGCAGCCAGGAGAGAGACTGCTTCTGGCATCTCATTGGCCAAGACCAGGGATGCTGCTCAGTGTCCTGGGAGGTATAGGACAGTCTCTACCACATGGGGAGTGATCTGGCTCAGGATGTCAACCCTGTTGAGGCTGACAAACCCTGAGCTAGTCTTATGTGATACAGATATCATTGTCTTTGGATATCCAATTATTGTTTTCACTGATCCTTTCCCACTTGGTAGCAGTGATGCTCAGCTTGCAGATGCATCCCTTTAAGGGGATCTCAGGAGCTGCAGTGTCAGTGGGTCTTCTGGGTAGAGCAAAACCCACACAGTACCTCAGAGCAGGCATTTAGAAAACTCTCCTGAGGTAGCTGTAGGCTTTTCTGTTGAACTTACTTTTTATTCCTCCACAATCGTACAACACTTTGTTCCTGGCAACAACACAATCAAAGCAAGCTAAGCACGAGCTGCTGTTGATGCCACAAAGGTGGCAGTGAGTACAGCCCTGCCCATATCCCTGGTCAGTGATGATGACCATGAAATTGAAAACCATGACTAGGTCCCTATCTGATTGCTCTGGGCCCTGGAGCCCGGTGAGGAATGAAAAAACAGCTAAGAGTCCTTCCACGTGTCCTAAAGGGGTGAAGACCAAACCTGAACTGTCATTGGCTTCTTCCATGACTGTGCCCCATCTCTTCTCTCGGTGTGGGTAGCTCTCTCCAGGGTAGCTTGATGGTGTCTTAAAGTGTCCACCCCGGAGCCCTGAGCAGGGCAAGTCAGTGGTGTTCACTCAGGATCTGCAGGCAAGACTTGCTTGTGTGTCTTTGGAGTGCCTGCCTTCCTGGGCAGGGGGCTTTCGTGTCCAAAGTTTTCCTCTCATTTGCTTAGAGATTGAAGGAAACAAAAGAAGCAATGGGAAACAGAAGGTAGGAAGTGCTACAGCAGTACCACCGCCATTGGAGGTTTCAGGAGAAATAAAGTCACTAACCCTGCTGCTCACCTGCCGCCTCCTCCACCCCACCCCAGCTGGCCCACGGAGAGCACTCTGTCCGGGGCCATGGCCTATGTCCTTTTGACTTCCAGCAACAGCTTTCTCAGAGAGACAGCTGCTTTCTCCACAGCCTGTCTTCAACTGACCCAGAGCTAGAAAGTGCTGAGGAGCCCATCAAAAGAGTATGGGTACTGGCCAGTGGGTTCCCCCAGATGAACAAGTGCTGTGCTAACTGCCACACCAAAGCTGGATAGGCAGAGGCCACACAGAGACTAGCCATGGGCCCAGCTTGGGTGGAAGCAGAGGATCAGGGCTGAGTGGGGGGCCACATGTGGGCACCCTGCTCCTGTTTCGTTCATCGTCATCCAGTGCAAATGGCCCCATGTCACCTCCAAACTAACTGCTCCAAGGACTAACCTGCACAGGTCCACGGCTCACTGTCCAGAATCCTCAGGCTGCACATTTTGGGTCACAGAAAGGCAATACAGAAGGACAAGGGCAATGACTCAGTGGCAGAGCACTCGGTAACATGCACAAGGTTCCGGGTTCATCCCCAGCACCGACAAAAACAAAGGCAATTCAGGGCACACCCCGTTTATCATAGAAGTTTCTGCAGAACACTGAGAAGATGTATTAAGTAGGACCAAAAAAAGACTATAACTGGGTCAGATTTGCCAGCAAATGTTTCATAAAAATACCTTGTTCTGTTGGAGGCTGCTTGGATTTAGGAACTATGGGTAAGTGGACCTGTATCCTACTACTAACTTGGTTACCTCCCTGAGGCAGAGAGTTCAACCTCTGTCTAGGGGCTGAATAGCTCACCTTTTGACATCAAAGCCAGATCCTGCTTAATGTAAGCTCTCCCGAGGCCCCTGAAAGGGAGGCTTCCTCCAGAGGGAAGTGGATTCCCCAAACAGAGCAGTTATGCCCCTGAGCCAAGGCTGCAGGTAACGTATCTGCACGCCTTCTTCCACTTCAGCCCTCCATGGCGCCGCAGTGCCTGCCTGCAGGTGACCCTGCTCTGCATCTGTGATGCCAGTCATTTGATGTCGACCTCACAGCCCTGTGCTCTCCCCACACCTCCCTGCAGAAGTTACAGGATTGGTGTTGCGCTTAGACTTCCCAGCCTAATCAGCTCTCCCACTCGCTTTGAGATGCCAAGAAATGAGCTGCTGACGGTCTAATGACTAACACACTTGTGCGGCCTCCACCCCTGCTTTGCTTCGTGCCTGCTTTGCTGCTGCCTTGCACCACCAGACTCCACTGCTTGTGGCCGCTGCTGCGGGACATGGGGGAGGAGGTCGGGCTGCACCCTGTGGCCCCATATTGTTGGAGCTTGATCTGCTCCCGCAGTGCTCATCTGGCCCTGTGGGCTCTGTAGCCCTGCATGAAGCCGCTTCCCACTGGCAACTCAGGCCCCTCCCTGTCACATCCCTGGAGCCACAGCCCACACCCAGTGACTGGCAGGTGACGAGCCTGTGCCTGCTAACTGCCGTGGCCCTGCTGCTTCAGGCTTACTCCGGCGCGATCATGATGGCTAATGCTCGTGACAGCCATGAGGAGTTTTGCATCCCTGTGTGCGTTCTGCCTGCTACTATTAGCAACAATGTCCCAGGCACAGACATAAGTATTGGCTCTGACACTGGCCTGGATGCAGTCGTTGAGGTAAGAGAACTCTGTTGGCTTTTGCTTTGTTGTGTTTAACAATTTGACTCTTCTGCCTTAAGAACATCGCTGTGAGGTCCAGCTCTCATTTCCAGTTCTCAGTTCCCTTTCATTCCCTCCCTTCCCCCAAGTGGACATTGAAGGGAAACCCACCCACTTAGTCTCTTAGGATAAATGGGCCAAATTTATTATTACTTTTTTGTTTCCTACGAGATTGGCTTTATGTCACATTTTCTGTAATAAGGTAATTTTTCCTAGTTTCTCGCAGGGAGAGCCTGTTTGTATTGACTGAAAGTGAGACGTTGTATAAAGCCCTTTGCATAATGTTTCTGCACCACATAAACAAGGTGAGCTGTGGCCATCCTTTCTGGTGAGGCCTGCTGCTCCTGCCTGAAGTTGAATAGCTAGAGGTGTGACCTTAGCGGAGCATCACAGAACAAGGCATGGGAGCGTGCGGAAAGGGGGCTTAGGTACCTGGTAAGTATGAGGACTCCAAGATGAAGCAGTGCTCATCTGCACAAAAGTGGGATCCACTGCCTGGAAGCACAGTCTTCCTAGAGAGATGAAGAGGCTCCCTAGGAGCTCACTGACTGCCGCACCCTGTGGGTAGGGACTCATCCAGCAGGTGCCAGTGACCACATTGCAGCATGTGTGACGTGCTAGGCCTTCATGGCCTGTGACTCCTTTACATTAGACCTGAGAATATTTGGTAGCTCCAAAAGCCTTTGCTGCCTAGACTGTTTCTCACCAAGGATGAGAAAAAGGATGGTGGCCAAGCACACTGGTAACTTCTGACTCAGTGTGTCCTGTGGGCCTCTTAAGACATTCATATCTGAGTTAGTTCCAGAGTTTGCAATGAAAAGTCATGACTGTTGGAGAGTTTCTTTAGCTCAACTCAGTACAGAACTTCAGAAAATAGCAGTTTTATCTGAGATTTTTGTTCTGGGTTGAATTAGAATGCAGGAAAAGGACAGGACCTCCCCCTCTCCACCACACACACACACACACACACACACACACACACACACACTTACGCCAAGTGTCTCAACTTTCCACTAGAATCCTAGCATTTGATTCTTGAACCGATGGAAACATCCTCGTTATTGCCTTCTGGCACTGGTTCTTGTGCCTCCAGAGGCCACAACTCATAACCACCAGGGTCAAGGCTCCCTTGGACCCCACTTATCCTTCTTGGAATTCTGGTTCTTTGCATGTTAAATAAGAGCCCAGATAAACCAGTAAAATAGCTCCCCATCACTGAACACTGTTAGGGCCCAGGACAGTGCCTAGGCCTTACTCTCTTTGAACACCTGGGCTAGTTTAGACTGCTCAATTTGCAAGTAGCACAGAACGACCCGTGTTCACAGACCGGAAATGAGACTTGCTGGCTCCCTGCCAGCAGACAGTGGCATCAGCCCCTCCTGACCCCTGCGCAGTCGCTGCCCCTACTCAATCACTGGTCCTTGGAGTTCAGCAGTCAGCCAGCTAGTCAGAAAAATATGACTTCCTAGCTTGTTAGCAGAGCAAGACTGTGTCCCCACAGTACAGCCCACCGTCTTTCCTTCTGCCTTAATACTATAGTAAACCCCTCCTTATCTTTTCACCTTTCATTTATAGTTTTGAAAACCCAGTGTAAAATACTAAGGGTATTTAAACTACAGCTTGTAGTTTTTCTTCTAGTACAAATCTTCCCAGAAATTTCCCCCAGGGCTGTGTCCCCTAGTGACTTCACTCTCCACTAAGTGCCCTGGAGGCTAGTTTAGGGAATCCTGTATGATGGGCTCTGTACTGGTTGATGACATGGGCCAGTCTATTTCATATGTGCATCTATTTCATTCTGTGACATTGACTGAGTACTTAGCGCAGCACTGGAGCTGCTGACTGTGCCACAGTGGGTAAGCCCAGCCCAGGATGCCTGCCCTTGTGGAATCTACTGAGGAAGAGACACCCAAATCAAATACCTTCACAAGTAACTGCAGGTCTTCATCCTAGGTGGTTTCTATCAGGAAAGGGCACCTAGTGTCACAAGAGCCCCTACAAGAGAGAACTGTAGAATCCTAGAGATTAGACAGTTTTCCTGAAGAAATGACATTGAACTGGGTCAGAGGGAAGGAGGGAAGAAGGTATCTATGAGTTTCCTGTTGTTGAAGTTAGTGTGCATGTGCCATTGTACTCTCAAGAAGCACTCGCTATTTTCTACGTCTCTGAAGGTAGAAGTCGGGGAGCTGACGTCAAGGTGCAGGCGCTAGGTGCCTTGGCCCCTGGCCTTTCCTCCTTCCTCCAGGCCAGCATGAGGAATATTGCTCAGTGCTTACTGGTCTGCCGCTGCTGTGTCCCATCTCCTCTGACTCCCCCTTGTAAGGACCCATGTAATGGCATTTACAGGCTACCTGGATAATCCTTAAGCTTAATTTATAGATTCTAGGATTAGAATCAGGATCCCTCTGGGGGCTTCTATGCAGCCCACTACATGCCCAGAGTGTACGAAGACCACCAAGACAATCCAAGTGCAGCATGTCTGCAAATCAGGACAAGGGCTGGAGCCAGGAGTGGACCTGACCATGGGAGCTGGCAGGCCAGCGGTTTCATTCAAGGTTTTGAGCTGTACTTGAAGTAGTTGGTGGAAGTAAAGCAAGAAGTTGATTAGATTTGGATTTTAAAGTTGGATCTCAGTTTTGTGTGAATAGATTGGGTGCTGGGGCCAGGGTTAAGAGTTTTGGCAGAGTACTGAGGAAATAAATGGCACCTAGACCTGTGCTCCAGGTGGGAGGCAGCAGTTGGATGTTCCTGAGTTGCTTGCCAGGAGCCTAGAGGTTGGATGAAAGACATTTCATTTTGAGACCAGTTGTCCATGTATCTGGAAGACTTCTCTGGATGCCTTTAAGAAACTACTGTCTGTCTCTGACTAGAGGTACCCCTAAGCATGATGTAGCATGCATGCCAGAACTAAAGGTGAACAAAACCCCAATGGCACAGACAGCTTTTCAAAAATAGTGTAGTGATTTCCATGAACTAAGCTGGATAGTTGGCATTTGCATAAAATCTAGATTTGCACTAGCAAGGGCTCACTCGGTGTGGTGGCACACGCCTATAATCCCATCAGTTTGGGAGGCTGGGATAGGAAGATTGTGATTTCAATGCCAGCCTCAGCAACTCAAGGAGACCCTGTCTCAAAATATTAAAAAGGGCTAGGGATGTGGCTCTCGGTTTAAGTGTCCCTGGGTTCAATCCCTAGTATCAAAACAAGGAAAAAAGCAAAGGTGAACTGTCTTGAGTGACCATCTTTCCCATCACCTCCTAAGGCACCCAGGAGAAGGACAGTGGCCAGGCCTCCACCATGGGTGATCATAGCTTCTAGGTGGCCCTGGTAAATAAATGCAGAGGCTGGCTCAGGTTACTGAGGCAAGGTCCAGGCAGCTATGCATACTGTTCCTCGCTATGTCCAGTGCTCATGACTGCTCACTCAGGCTTGGTGGAGGGACTTGCTATACCTCTTGAGGGGCGCAAGGCTCTAGGCTGGTGCACATCTGGCACTGGCCAGTGGCCTGACTTGGAATGACTGATCTCCTTTTCTATGACCAGACATGTGACAGAATCAAACAGTCGGCCAGCGGGACCAAGCGTCGAGTGTTCATCATTGAGACCATGGGGGGCTACTGTGGCTACCTGGCCAACATGGGGGGCCTCGCAGCTGGAGCTGATGCTGCCTACATTTTTGAAGAGCCATTTGACATCAGAGATCTGCAGGTACATAAAAGGGTCAGGCCCCCATGAGCACTGTTTAGTTCAGAATCCATGTGGTACCGCTAAGTTCATAATCACATTTGTCACTGATTACGTTTTTTAGGGGATAGAGATGGTGTTGTAAAATATCCAAAGCTGTATGCCCTTCAGTTATTGCCTTGTTTTATTCAGATCCTGTGACTTTAGTATCGGGAGCTCTTTTGATGGGTGATAATGAATAGACAGAGTCGAAGGACACCTTTTATTCCTGTGTGTGAAAACAGGCTTGTACAGAGATTTCATCTCTTTTATGTTTTTTCTCATGTGTGACATAAGTCACCGAAAGGTGATACTTGTTTAATGGGATCCAATATGTTGAACAGGCATATTATGTATGACCTCAGTCCCAGGTCTCTGGAATCTTTGTGGATCCAAGGGTGGGGAGTTTGTGGTAGCTGGAGGGTGGTCTTTGCCCTGCAGTGCTGGGGACCTGTACCGGTTGATGAACCTACATTGCACATCATGGTCCCCAGGCCTGACTGACACAAGGACTTACTGGGTGTTGCTGTAGCTCTTTTAAAATCCTAAGATCTGCGATGACTGACAGAGGAGGCCTAAGGTATCCCAATTCCTTCAGTTCGTTCAGGCCAATGGCTGGTTCAGCCAGTCCTTCCAGGCTCTTCCCTGACTGGCCCTGGCCTGGCCAGAACCAGGCTGCTGGATTGGAGGAAGGACCAGTGGGCATCTGGCAGAGCTGGTGGCAGCCTCAGTGCCCACAGCAGGTGGTCACGGATTGGTTAGGGAGGTGGGGCTAGACCCAGTCATGAACCATTCAACCTTGCAAAAGGATAAGCAGGGACAGATGAGACAAGTTGAGCCACTGTTTTTAAGCAAGTTATGTTTCTGAACTAAATCAAGTAATGAGATGTTTGGTGACATGGACATTGCATGAATTTATTGACAATATTGAACTGTTAATACTTGAGGTCTCTCTAAAGACAATGCCTTATTGGCACTTATGGCTCCTGGCACATGGTAGATGGTTAAGAAATGTAATTATGACAAATTCAGTGACTCATTTTTTAGGATGAGTCATTAGGAAATTACCGCCCTTTAGTAATCTTCCTTGCATGGACTGAAATGTTTTTGCACATTCTTTCAAGACCGATTTTCTTAAGAAAATTTATGTATGCACGAGCCTATAAAATGTTTCCTTGGTCAGAAAATGTTTATTAAGCATTTGTATGAGATTCTATATAAAGTCAGGCAACAGGTAGTTATTTTCTGAGAGCTCTAAAAAAATACAGTATAGATAATTGTATAAACATTAGGCAAATACACAGAATAAAATAAGTACTTTAAGAAGGAAATCCATTTAATTTGGAAAGCATTTCTTGTGGAAGTTATGATTTTCACTCACTAAATAAATATGCCCAATAACACAGTCCTGTTGCTACCCTATATATTATTATCTTGATTATTGTTACTGGTGCATTTATTACTACTATACATATATCACTAATATATTTTTATTTTGTCTACTATAGTCTCCCGCGAATAAATAAATAAATGTAAGCTATAAACCATCTCTCTCAATTGCTGTTATATTCTAGCACTTAGGCACATAGTGTCTAATAATTTGATTGTCTGATGAACAAAATATTTTTTCTAGTCCAATGTGGAACACCTGACAGAGAAAATGAAGACCTCCATCCAGAGGGGTCTTGTGCTCAGGTAATGAAACAGTATTTCTAATCTTACTTCCTTTTTAGACCTAGGTTCTTAGAATCTCTCTTGTGATAAGAAACCTAAGGTGCACTCATTACTCCTTTGCCACTCTGATTCTCACTATAAATGCTGAAGGAACACAGACACAAATACAGCAATTGCATGCTGTTAAAAATACACTTGCATTTAGATAAAGAGTGATTTTTCTGGCAAGGCTGATATTTACTTGCCCTCACTTAGACCATAGTTTTGTTGATTAGAGTATTATTCTGAGCCAGTGTTAAAAAAATAAAGCAATGAAGGGCAATTTTGAAATTTAATTTTGCTCTGTAGTCTTTTTCTTTTCCCCATGATATCTCCCAATCATATTAAGCCCTTGACCTTTATGAAGAAAGGGGAAAATACCTAGTCCGGGTAGGGATGAAGGATCAAGCAGCCCACCTAACAGGTGGGCTGCTCAGGTAGAGCGCTTCCCTGGAGACCCCTGCTTGCCATCACCTGGTAAATAACTCAGATGTTTCCCTTCATGGCAGGAATGAGAGCTGCAGCGAGAACTATACCACGGACTTCATTTACCAGCTCTACTCAGAGGAAGGCAAAGGGGTGTTTGACTGCAGGAAGAACGTTCTGGGCCACATGCAGCAGGTAGGGCTGGAGGCCTGGGTGACATGGAGGCCTCTGTGCTACTCAAGACAAAGGCAAACGGTCTTCCAACTGATGCCTCATTGTAGCCATTTTTGGAAAAATAATTCAGAAGTAAATTCTAGGGTGACTAGAAATAGCAGCTGAATTACTCCATCATAGCAGTCTCACTAGCTTTAGAATTTGTTCTCGTTTATAATTATTACAGTTTATGAGTATTTTAAGAAATACTATGTAAATAGTGACACTGGTTCATTTGGAAAGAGTATACAAATTTAAAAAAAACAATTTTTTGGTATCCATAATTGAATCCAGGGTCACTTAACCACTGAGCCACATCCCCAGCCCTTTTAATTTTTATCTAAGTTGCTGAGGCTGTCTTTGAACTTACCTTGCCTCAGCCTTGCAACTACTGGGATTACAGACATGTGCCACCATGCCTAGCAAGTACCTTCTTAAATATAGGGTTTAATAAGATTTAAAGTAGAATATCGGACCAATGATACTTGATGTTTATAAAAAATCAGAATGAATTGGAAAAGAACTGTAGGGTAAGCATTAATTTTACGATTTCTGAGTGTGTCCCCAAATAACAACTCTAGCTTAGCTGGGAAGTAGGTGGTCCCAGGTTTCCCAGTTTGAAGGTCTCTGCTGTTTGTATCATTTCCTCCTATTCCTTGTATGTTAGGGAATTTTTAAAGTAGGGTCCATTGATTTATTTCAAAAGGTTCATGAGTCCTTAAATCATATGATGAAATAGGCAAGTGTGTATTTTGGGGGGAAAAACAAAAATCCATAGTTTGTCAGACTCTTAAAGGAAACTGACATCTCTCCTTACCCCAAAATAAGTTCAAGAAACACTGATGTGAGACTCTGCAACCCTGAGGGGACTGGTGATGGTCCAGTTGATTAGAATCCTGCCCTGCGAGAAGGAAGGCTTGCCAACTAGGTGAGCCATCAGAGTTTGGATTTATGACCCAACTAAATCCAGCAAGACAGAAACAGGCCAAACCATACCATATTTGCAAGTTCACATCTCTTAAAAATGTGAATCTTGTTCAACTACAGAAACTGTCATTTCTGCTTATTTTGTAACTAATAACTTAACCACAAACAGGGTGGAGTACCTTCTCCATTTGATAGAAACTTTGGAACCAAAATCTCTGCCAGAGCCATGCAATGGATCACCACTAAGCTGAAAGAGTCCTACGGCAAAGGTAGGAATTCATGGGGAGGATATTTTTGCTTTTTGTTTAGCTTTTGCTAGTCTTAGCATTGCTATATGACTTGCAAGGTTAAAAATAAATATAAATCCTATTAATAAAATAAAATACTTTACTCCTGCTTTTAGTGGTGGATGACAATCCAATAATTTAGTAGCTTTATATCTATTAGGCAGAAACTACTGCACACATGTTAAGACTTTTAACAAGACTGTAAAATGGGCTTGTTTTATTTCCCTGGTGATGAGAATCACTTTGAATTAGCTTTTACTTAAGGTACTTAGGACTTACTCATTGCTTCATTCACAACTTTTAAGAGCACAGAATCCCATAACAGAATATAGGTGGTGTCCACACCATGTTTCTCCTTCAGAACCCAAGTGTATCCTTTAGTATTTTAGAATTTTATGATGACCTGTGTCATGCAAATCCATCATCTCTGCTGCTCCAGGCCAGCTGACCATTCTGGTGCTGGCACTTGAGTATGCCACACAGTATGGTAGTGCCCAGCTTCCTAGGACCTGGTTTCTGCTGGACTGCAAGGTCTTCAAATTAGTTTACCAGTCCCACGCTCACCTGCAGGCATGCAGTGTCCTGTTACTCTCATCTGGCTTATATCTGTTACCCTGACTTAAAAATGTTGTCTGTTTGGTGTTTCACTGTGGCTTGGAGAGGTGGACTCAACAGGTAAAGAGGAAAATGGCAGGTGGCATGACGTTCTTGTTTCTCTGTATTTTGCCTATTTTTCTGTTGGCTAGTTGCTAAGAGTCTAACATGTATCAAAATCATCCATCAAAATACTCAGTTTTCTTTGTAGAAAGATTTGACTGCTGAATTTCTCTGACATTTATAGAAACACTTGTGTTTTTTTCTTTTTTCTTGAATCATTTTTGTAAATTGCATTTTCTAGGAAACTTTTAATTCATTTAAAATTCTCAAAAAAAAAATTGTCACTGAACTTCCCATAACATTCTTCTTTCAGTGCCTGCAGCACATTTAGTCTTCATTTAATCCTGAGACAGGCTTTTTGTGCCAATTTTTGTCAATGCCACCCCTACCCTGCAGGTTTCTGGGTCAGTCATCTCAGACATGTGTTTTTATACAATTTCTGATGTCTGGTTTACAAAAACACAGCTTTTATAAAAATGGTGATATAAGCAGTTCCAACCTAATTTTAGTATTGAAGAACTGGCGTTGGCTTTAATTCCTTCTACTTTGATAGTTTTTCTACATCAATTTATACTTTTGATATTTCTTTCTAATTCTTAAGATTTCATTTATGGATACTCATTAATTTTCAGTGTCTATCTTTCTGCAATTTAAGTTCACTTTTCCTTACTCTACTAGTTAGTGAAATATTTATTCATTGTTAAAAATGTTCTTTACATAAATGTGTGGTGGCCGCTGTTCTGGTAAGTGGCAGGTGATCAGCAGTGTGAAATAAGGGAGGCCTCACCACAAACCAGGCCGTCCTCCTCATCAGTCCTGAAAAGCCTGGAGAGACTCTGGAAAAGTCTCAAAGGACACTGTCACACTGTGCACTGGCTGTCCCCACTGGATAGACAGCTGATTATCAAATGTAATCTATGGCACACATCAGGATTTCCAAGCTTAGTGGTCAAAACTGGAATTCCCTGCATCCACCCCAAGGTGGCTCTGAGGCATCCAACTCTTATCTCACCTTCACATGACATTTTATAAACATGATGCATTAGTAGTTCCTAATTTCTTTCTTTTTTTTTTTTAACTCATAGGAAAGAAATGTGTTTCTGACGACTACATCTGTGTGCTGGGAATAAGCAAAAGAAACGTCATTTTCCAACCTGTGGCAGATCTAAAGGAGGAAACAGATTTTGAGTAAGTCACTGTACGAGTAAATGTCATAGCTGTTAGCAAGAATGAATAATAGGAGTCATGAGGAAAGAGGGACACCACAACCGTAGTCATTGTAAGTAATGCATGGCAGTATTTGAAGGAATATATGGGCTCTTCTAGAGCAAGGTTAAAGAATAGTAGACATTGAGAAACAGGGCAGAACTTTTAGAAATACAAAAATAATATTTTCATTTGATCTGTGAAAACTGGCTTTATCATCCAAAGTTTAGTCAGGTGACTCCATACACCTTTTTTGACAAGTCTCCTTTGGCCTAGCTGCAGCCAGATTGTCTTCCAACAGGGAAGGTGGCACTGTCTTCTTTTCCTTCCTAGGCACAGGATTCCCAAAGAACAATGGTGGCTGAAACTGCGGCCTCTTATGAAGATCTTGGCCAAGTACAAGGCAAGCTTTGACGTGTCTGACTCTGGTCAGCTGGAGCCTGTGCAAGACCAGAATACTCAAGGGGAACCTGCGGCCATCTGAGTGCTGTGCTGACCACCAAAATGACATGTCCAGTGAGGCCTGGAACTTACCGGGACCATCTTTTTGTAACATTTAAGTTATTTATCGGCACTTTATGCAAGTATTGTTGGCAGTAACAGCTAATCAGAAAGCATCAGTTACCAGTGTCATCTTATCCCAGTCATCTGCGACATGAACCCCTACCCATTCCAGTGAGTTGTCTCCTCCCCCTTGTATTCTATCTCATGCTTCAAAATGTGTCTGTCTAGTGGAATTAAACCTATGACTGAAACCCTTAAGAGCATTGTTTATTTTCTTGAATTTAAAACAAGATCTGTGGGTGGTCACTAAAGGATTCCTCAGCAGTTTTCTGGGCAGAGACTAGCAAAATGTAGAGAATCATTGAAATACATAAGCACAAAGTCATCTAAACAGCAACTGTGTCATTACATGGAATTGCCCTTTAGCCCATGCTGAAATCAGCCTGGACCTGGCTCTGACACACCATGTAGTGGGTAGGTTAACTCCAAGCTCTTAGTCTCTCTTCAAAGTGAGACAAGGTGCAGAATAAAAAAAAAAAAAAAAAAAAGAAAGAAAATAAAAGTATAAGCTATCATATACTCTATTTGAATCCTAGTTGCACATTAAAACCACAAAGGGATTTGTTACGAAGAATCTGATTCCCAGTATGTCCTGTAGGCCACAACAGCGGTGCTTCTGGGTGGGCCTAGGTCGGAACTCTTCAGAGGATTTTCAGGGGCTGCTGGAAGGTCAGTCCATAGGCATGAGGATAATCCCACTGAACTGATGAGTCACTAGGAAAAAGCATTTCTGCCTCCTCTTCAGTCCACACGAGTCTAGTCTACAGGAGGCAATGTACGAGCACTAGATAAATAACTGAGCTCTGCCCACACAACTGCTGAGAAAATAACGGGGGAAAGAGTTCACAGAGGGAAGGGAAGGATCAACTTAGTAAGTTCTGTTTGCAAAATCTGAGGATAAAACAATAGAGGCGAGCTGGTCCTGAGAAGTGTTCTGTCCCAGTAAAGACAGTAGGAAAAAAGTCAGTTTAACACTTCTTAATAGAACATGCCTTGTTCTTGAGCTGGACTCCTCTAGGGCTGCGCTGTTTGACTCACATGTGTGGGGCGTCTGCTGGTCCATGGTGTGATCGCACCAAGCAGACAGATGCTGGAATACCCTTGTCACTTATTCATCAATTTTTAATGAAGGTTTACAGTGTTCAATTTTAGCAAAGTGTCATTTAAAATAATGACAAACAGGTAGGTCAAAGTTGCCTTTTATTTTTAAAATAAATGTTTTAGGATTAATAAGTTTAAAAATTCTCATTTGTATAATCACTTCAATTTCTTCATGATGACCTACTTCCCTCATACTTCAACTTGCCAGTCAGTATTTTTGGCCAAATTTTAAAAACAACTTGATTTTTGGAAAAAGCAGTAACATTTCTGGTCTTCCAAGTTAAATCTGGCTCAGAGGCTTCAGTTTTAAGAGCCTATACACATGTAGGTTCAAATGAGTTCCAGAGTCCAGTCAAAAATACTTGAGACCAGTTATCTTATTATCCATGAGGGGTCCTTAGCAATTTTTGCAATCTCTGGTCCAAGTATAGCCAATCCATGTGTGCTCTTCCCAATGCCAAGGTATCTGAAAGGAAAACAGTAAATCTGGACTATTTTCTACATTACACACATTCTCCAAGTCAACAGAAAGTCTTCACATTTCTGAATTTCACTAACTGGACACATCATACCACAGCGCGCATACTCACTCATTGCTCACGGCAACCAGCTTATCATGGCTGACGGCAAAGAGCTGCTCCCTGTGTGTCTGTTTCATCTCATCTGAAAGACCCAACAAGAAGTGGTCCATTCCTGAAAGGAAAACCACAGGTATAGATGGAGGAGCTAGCTGGGTATGGCTCAGGTGGGGGCCTCTGTGTTCACAACTGGGCAGGGACACTGAGGTTACTTTATTGATGTATTTCAAACAGGTATCTGTATGGCCCAGAAAGGTCAAACCTTGACCTCCACTTACCACAGAGCCATGCTCACCTCTCCTACAGAATCCCACTTTTGGAGTGTGGATAAAGAGTAAGGATCACCTATGACTGGTAAAACTGTGAACAAAATTGCGCTACATGATGAAGTCGCTGTTCTCATGCCAAGTCAAAAATATTCAACTCTAATGCAAGGTGTTTTACTGGGTCAGCAATTCGACCTCACTGTACGTTTCCATTCATTTGAAGTAAATCATTAACATGTTCTTGACTTGCTGTCAGGAAGCATGACTTCGAGGTCACTGTTTAGGTTGTTAAATATGAAAACCATATCACAAAGGAAAAAGGACAGAGATGGGAAAAAACAAGACGGAGTTGCTGCCTGTGGTCCCCACATGCCAAGAAGGAAGTACTCAGAAAACTTGAGTTTTAGTTGGCAATAACACACATCAAGGATTTCATTATTTACTCAAATTACCTTTGTCTGAAGGAGCAACAGGAGCATCTACAGCAGAGAAAACAGAGAGTTTGGCTTCATCAATGTCCTGCTCTGTGAATTTTCCAGATTTAGCCCAGTCGATAGCCTTCTCAAAAGATTGAAGTGTTTCTATTGAATTTGGATCCCTGGAAAACCACAGTTAATACTGAAGGATTTTACCAATGGAAAAAGTAATGAAAAACACATGTTGACTAAGAGTTCATCGACATTTTCTATTTGTTAACAGTTCTACTTTTAATATGTCATATTCCAAACACCACACTAACAGAGCAATTATATTCTGCAGAAGGTTAAATCTGACCACAACAACCTCATGACAAACTCCTTATATTTGGTGACATAGTCTACCTGCCTAATTTTATTGACAAATTATTTTAAAATGCTCTTTTGTGATTCTATCAGGAGAGGAAGTCACATGGAAGAAGGGAAGTCAGAATCACAATGACATCACGGGAGACTGGTGGAAAAGTTCAAGGTTAAACAAAAATACTTCCACAAGATAAACTCAGAATACTGCCTAGAATTTGCCCAAAGGTTGGACAATTATCAAGATATTTCCTTGTATCTGAGTGGAAAGACTTCCAGTCCTTTCTGCCCACCATCATGGTTCTGAAGGCAACTTCTGGGGAACATGAGGGGAAGGCCTGTGGGCTGTTTTCACCTCTCATCTAGGTATAGCGTGGGAACAGCAGCAGTGGGTGACCACTCGAAGGAGGAGGGACAGGAGAACTGTATCAGAATGACACCAGATGACTCACTCTCAGGGTATTCTGGCACATGCCTTCTTCAGGCAGCAGGGCCTCCAGAAGTTTAGAATTACACCACAAAAAGGGTAACAGTCTTAGGTCTCTGAAAACCTCAAACAGATCTCCTTTAGGCCTCTACCATTGACAGGGGCTCAGAAGGCTCTCAGGTCGCTAATGTGACAATTAGCAAACGAGGATCCTATCCCTGGTCCTTGCAACACCAAGGGTACTGTTGGGTGTGGTTAGGTGACAGTCACTCCTATATATAAGACGATATATAATTACACTGGTAATTAATACAGCCAAGTACTAGAAGTGAAATGAAGTATGTGTGTTCATACATGAGATGTGGTGAAAAGACAACAACTCACCTGTAAGAGTAAAAAGTGAAAATTCCATTATAGTTGAGTTTGGCACCTCCACCATAAGCACCCCCTTTTTCTCGAATTTCTGTATGCAAGAATTTAGCCGTCATCACACGTGCAAGGATCCTCAGGCTGGAATTAATGTATTAAACAATGCAAGTTAAAAACAACATGGCTTAAAGGAAGTACTACATGAAATATAATCTGAAGAGATGTCTAGAGTATAATTAAGTGAAAAGAAAACTAAGTAACATACAGTTGGCTCTCTGTAGCATTCACTGATAGGTTTAATCAAGCACAGATCAAATATTTTTTTTGTGGATGTACACAATATCTTGATTTTATTTACTTATTTATTTTGATGTGGTGCTGAAGATCGAATCCAGTGCCTCACACGTGGAAGGCAAGAACTCTACAACTGAGCCACAACCCCAGCTCCACAGATCAGAAATAATTAACAGCAACAAAAAAAGTATCTGCAACAAACATGCAGTTCACATTTTTTTCTAGTCATTATTCCCCAAACACTACAGTGGAGCAGCTATCTAAACAACATTCACATTGTATTAAGTATTCTAAGTAATTGAGCCATGATTTAAAGTATACAGGAAGAGTTGTAAGCAAAATACTACACTACTTCATGCATTGAATGTGAGCATCCATGTATGGTATCTGCAGGGACTTCTGGAACCAAAAACCAATGACAGGTCCACATTACGGTCCCACTTTTTTTTTTTTCTTTTATGTAATGAAAAAAATGTAAGAATGTGAGGAAGAACAATTTCGAATAGTTCCCTTGGGTCAGAGTTTGGACCAGAGAGATTGTAGAGATGGAATAGACTTTTCTTCAAAAGACTTCTACATAGCTTAACTTATTATATACATATGTGGCATTTTAAAAGTCTCATACAGTAAGAAGAAGCTATTCATTTTTTTTTTACCAATTTTATTTATTTTTTGAAAAAACTAAAATATATAAAAGCTAAAGAAAAATCATAAGACAATGGCCAAAAAAATAAGTTAACAAAGTGATGAGAAAGTGATAAGGAGAGGATTTTTTCACAAAAACTACCATCATCATATATTAAAATATTAAACACAAGTCCCAAATCATTCAAATATATCCACATTTAAAAAAGGAAAATTATATACTCACAGCATAAAAAATAAAAGGAAAGAATGTAATTTACTTAAAATATGTGGGAACACCTTAGTTCTCCATACCAATTGGAGAACTAAAATTTATAAAAAGCAAAAAAGGTCATTATTTTGCAGCCAAAGCTTTCAAAATTGATGGGTGGAGCAACGGAATAATAATAAGTAATTATTGTAAAGGCAAATGTACAAATGATCATTTAATTAAATGTCTCACATCACTATATGGAAAACTGAATAGATTTATATAGATTTATATTTCTATTAAAAAAACACGCATATTCCAGTAGAGCACATTTTTATTAAAGACTAACTTTCTGATGGCTTCCACTGTGAATGATAACAGTTGGCCCCCTGAGAGAGGAAAAGATTTTAGACAGCATATTAACATGGCAAAAGATCAAACGGAACAATGATGTTGTGGAAAGGAGCCACAACTGGGAAGTCCGTGGCAACAGCCCAGGCCTGTTACTTATACTGTGGTGACACTAGGTCCCAGATCTCTACTACCACT